AAGAAGGGGAAAGAGAAAGGGAAGAGCACTGGGTTGTTGGGTTTTCTTTGGAAGAGCGCTTACATTCTGCGGACTTGCAGGTAAAAGCTGGCAGTTTGGGAAGATTCCGAGGCAGCGATGGGGGAAGGGTTAAGAGACAAAACCCAAGAGGTCCCTTGCGTTTAAGTCGAAGGCCGAAGACCCAAGTAGCAGGCCCGGAAACAATTCTGGTACCAAATACAAGGCCAGAGTAGCAATGGCAACGCGAGAAGGGCCACGGCAGTCGCGATTTTTGGCTCCGCCAGAACAGATCAGAGCTTGTTTTGGTTTTTTATTTGCAATTAGGATTAGTTTTCTCTGATGCAGCATCAAGTTAAAGTTAAGTTTGGGAGGCTGCTGTGACAGCAAACCTCCGTCTTCCCTTCCTTTCCCTTTCCCCATTCGCCATAGCAGATGCAAGTGTTTCCGCGCCAACCCCTCACCTCGCTCGCAGTCTTGTTGCCCAGTTTCTGCGAGATGGCCTGGAAGGTTTCCAGATGGGCTCCTTTCTCCTGGCAGGTGGTAAGGATGACTCTGTCGGCCTCCCTGCAAGGGGGTACAATAGCTATGAAAGCCGCCAAAACCAAGCGCCAACACGCTGCAGCCAGCGCGAGCCCGAGAGGCCTCTTCCCGGGTGAGGACAGCAGTCGCGGACCAAGTCCTGCAGGCTTGCTCCTTGCCTACTACCACCGTCACCAATCACAAGATGCATCTCGGAGCAGGGCTGCATTTAGCCTATTTTTAAGCTTTTTGAAAGAGAAAAAAATATTCTTTCCTAGCCTGAAGTACTACAACAATTACACTGCCACGAGCAGACTGCATTTCTCATAGGACCAAGGCGGCAGCTATGACGGACTGTGGTTAAAGGAAACAAGGCAGGAATATTCAAAGGGAAGGGGCAGGAGACCTTAGAAGATGAGAATACAAAATGAAAATGAAGGATACTCGGTAATATGAAAGCCAAAGCCCAGTACTGAATGCACGAGGGATGCAAGACGCGGCTCAGGCAGCCGTACCTGGTCCAGAGGACAACCTTCTCCCCAGTCGAGCTGACTTTGCTGTTCTTGGCACACACGGTTGCTTCTGTGACTCGCTGCTGTTGCTGCTCCTCTTCCTTTTGCCCCAGGGAGGCAGCCGCCACTCGGTATTCCAGCTGCTCAGAATACTGACGCACCTGGAAGCAGTTGTTTGCATTTGACTTTGATCTGCTCTCAGGAGAATTTCCAGTGCAGCCCGTATCATCTGCTTCCAAGCCACGGTTATCGGGGGACTGGGAGCTGCAGCTCTTACCCAGTGCTGGTTTTCTACCCGGTGTTACCCAGCCCTGCTTTGCTTCAGGTTTTCCTTCCAGAGGCAAAGGTGGCCCCTCAAATTCTTTCACACCTAATTTTGGAGCATGGCCAAAGACAGCGAGCTTATCTGAGGAATCGGAATCGGAATGAAGCCCTTCAGTCTGACAGGAACTCTTTCCAGACGAGGAGCCGGGTCCCGTTAAACCTTTTACTGTAGCAGAACGAGCAGACGGCAGCAGATCTCTGCTCAGCCCAAGGGAAGCGTCTGCACTTCCTTGCTGGTGCTGGTTTAGTCCCTCACCTCCCCCAGCGCACGGGCAGTCTTTGGTTTCTTGAGGTAGTTTTAGAGGAGCTTTTTGCAGCTGTGCCCCCCTGGGGCCAGGGCCAGCAGAGTCACTGTCCTTCCCAGTATTCACAGCAGCACTGGCCCCTTCTTGGACCCGGTTATCGGGCAGTGCAGCTTTCTCAGAAGCTGTGTGTCTGCTGGAGACAATCTTTCCTTCCAGGTGAGATCCTGATAAGAAACCCAAACAAGTTCAGACTAGCTGTTAGTAAGAACAACTTCTGGAGGCTTTATTCATTTACTTTTTAAGAGATATATATATTTTTTTTTTTATTCTAGAGCATAACGCTGTAAATGAGAACACAGTTTGGGAGCAGCTTGGTAATTCTATCTGCAGTTTACCCATCCTGTACCTCCGGGCAGGCTCTCTGCACCTTGCTTCACCCCTGTGGGTTACTGCAACCAGCTGCTGTGTGAAGAAGTGACAAACACATGGAAAAGCATCGCCCAGACCAAAATTTTCAATTCACCGCTGCTCTTGGTGCCCCATTTACAAAACACTACAAACAAGACATCGGGTTGCGTTACATTTAAAGCGCTGTATTTAACCGGCGCATCGTCTCCAACAGTAGGATTAACCGAGACGTGGTCGCTGGAAGGAGGAGGAGATCTCTTTCAGGTTGTTCATCCTGCAATAATCACGTCTCCCCTTGTCTGTACTAGACTGAAGGAGAACCGAGTAACACGAAGGAGATCATTTAAAGGGAGATTAGAGGGGTGGCGATTTTGAATTGCTGGGCTAAAATGAAAACTGGAAAAAACACCAGTATCATGGACTGGTAGTACTGGGAACCGGGTAAGTATGCTAGCAAGAGAAGCTTAAATGCACCTATCATTCTGAAAAGGGGAGAATATTTCTCTAGTCAGGAAAGCTTTTTTCAAAGGACACGCTCTGGATAGAGGCATGTTTAGAGCATCCAGAGTGGATGAACACAAGGGAAAAAAAAATGAAAAAAGATCATTAGAAGTTCTCATGACCTCAATAAATTTGCATTAGAAAGTCCTATACCTATTTCCATGTGTGTGAACCAGTTTGGAGAGGAGCGATACGCCTGTCTGTACACCAGACTCTCACATACCTGAAGCCAGAGAGTCCACTCTCCTAGACAGGGTTTTTGTTCTGCTCTGGGCATCCTCTCCCTCATCTCTGTTCTCCAGGCTTTCTTCTGCAGGTTCCTTAGACACTCCAGAATCCTTCCCTTCAGGCCGAGGACTTGATTCTTGTTGAACAAGGCTCGCAGTCAGCTCTTGAGAATCTTTATTTTTATAAAATTTGTTTTCACACACCTGCGAATCAACACAGAGGCACACAATCACAGATGTGGTATATCGATCCAAACCTAACACCTCGGCCTTTGCTTCCAAAGCGTTCCTTGACCCTAACAAAGGCTTCGGTCTGGCAATACGTTTGCATTCCGAAAGCTGAATCTTTTTTATTAGGATGAACAGGCACGGTTCTTTTCACACAGTGGCCACACAAGCATCTTCCACTAAAAAAAGCTTATTCTTAACTCAAACGAATATCAAAATTAACACTGTTCAGCATAGCAAGGAGGGGCAGTAGAAAGTGAGCAGGAGATAAGACAGGGGAAGGCCAGGTCGTGCAGTAAGAGCTCCGAAGAGGGAGACACCACAGTCATCTTTCGATTTACTTCCTTCCTCACGTTATTTTGGAGACAAGACCCGAGGCTGGACAGATCATCGCAACAGGGGGACTCTTGGCAGGACTCTACTTTCCACTCACCACTCCAATGACTTGGCCTATCAACTAACCTTACTACTACAATGGCTGCAGGTCCTCCTTTTGCTTTTCTTTAGCTTGAGATCGCTACTCCCTTCATGGCAGGAACATGAACATTCCTTCATCCCATCTACCCACTCGACCTCCTGGAAACAGACATACTCCAGCTGACAAACGTGCATGGTACACAAAGATGACAGTCAGGGGAAGGTTCACCCCCGCGGGAGCCAGGACGGGCCGAGCGGCTCCCTGCGCACGCTCGGGGAACTAAAGCGATTACGCCGCTAGCAAGCAAAGCACAATGGAAACATTTCAATCCCCTTTCTTCAAATCTCTTTAGGCTGTTGTCATGTCTCTCTAGGACACATTTATCCTCACGGGCATGCGTTTGTTCAGAGTCCAGATATGCAGCCTAGTGAGATCCCCCAGGCCCACCTTGTCATTGTTCTGGCCTCCGATCTCTTTCCGCTTCTTATTTTTTGAGGCTGCATGCATCTTGGGTGGTTCATCCTCCTCTTCTACATCTGGCAGAGACACCTCTTCAAACCCATCGAACTAAAAAAAAAAAAAACAAACAA